TCCCCACCCGGCGGGCTGGCTGGGGAATTCTGGGAGTTGAAGTCCACCCATCTTAAAGTTGCCAAGGTTGAGAACACTGCTCTATAGAAACTGCAGCTCCTGGCTAGAATTTTGAGCAGAGCATTTTGGAGGTGGGACTTCTTTATATTCCTTCCTCTAGAGATGTTTCGGTTCAAAACGGTTCCCTTGAAGTTTTCTCCTTTCCTTGGGCAAGAGACAGATCCCGCAGCCTTTTTCTGCAATGGGAGGAAAGCACCGGGAGGGATTTTAAGTGGGGATATGGTTCAAAGTTCTAATCATGGCTACCCCAAATGACTCAAAAATGCCATCCACAAGCAGAAGGTCTTTGATTAACAAACACAGTAATCTGGGGGCGGGGGTGATGTTTTTTTAAGACTACATTTCATAATTCTGTACTTTGTAAATATTTTTAAATGTGGAAGAGCACCTTCTTTCCCTCCCAACAGAGACCAAGAAGTACTGTTCTTCTGTTTGAACGCTGAGTAATAAGTAATATTCATCATGGGGTACCACCTCATCTGCCATTGTGGCTTGAGCTTAAGGCAAAACCTTGGAATCCAAGGTGCCTTGTTCCAAGCTCAAAACCCTCAAAACCTGTTTTCACTTTGGAGTATTTCAAACTCAGAAAATTTTGCACCCCTCTAGTATTTTGCCAATCTTGTCCCATGCCACAGATTTCTTTCATAAGACATTAAAGCCATTCTCTCAACTGATGCAAATTATTAACCCTTCTGATTCCTAGCTATGATCCTGAGAGAGGAAGCTATGGTATCTAGCTGTTCTCCCCCAATTCTCTCCCTCCTGTGTTCAAGTTCCACTGCCCTTTACCAACTTTAACCACTATTCCCTGCTAAGCAGGATTCCTGTTCTAATTTATACAACCCACCTGCAAAACCTGGTTATAAAGAAGTTTAACTTACTTTAATCCTTAATGAAAATGATATCACTAGGTTTCATCACTGAGGAACTTGTGCGCTTATCTGTTTCTCTGCAATCGTGTAGCCTGTCCCCAGTCTTTTTATGAAATTCAAAATGTCAAAGTTTTACATCTCCATTATACTCTTATGGCCCACAGGGGAATTTTGGTAATCTTGACTGAATATAAATGCTGTGAGTATTTACATATAAAACCTTTCCCCGACAGCCATAGAAGAGAGGTGACCTCCCCCCAGTTTTGCCTTTGATTGATTCCTACCTGAGTTAGCGCAATCATAGCCAAAACGGTATAGAGTTCTTCCTTTGTCAGCTTCCCTGGAGTGGTGCGATTGGCTAAGGCCCAGATTTGTCCAAGAGTTTCTCTGGGAAGCCCAGATGACATCAGAATTGGATAGAGTTTGCCGGTATCTATCCCAGATGGTGTCATGGTGGTTTCTAAAATCTTCTTATAAAGATCTGTGAAGGAAACAGTTGGTCCAAGAGACTGAATACTCCATATTCAAGCTCTATGCCTTTTCTGCCAACAAACATTAATCTGAGTTGTTGGCAAAGATAATGAATTCAGATATCAAAAGTCAACTGGTCCAAAGAGGGCACTTTCATTAAATGTGGTTGGAATTTGCCTTTTAGTAAATTTCAGTACCTGCTTCTGAAAGGATAGCTGCTATTTGTGTGTGTGCGTGCGCACATGCACATTTGAGTCAGTTTTTCCTAGCGACTGCCTACAGTTTTCTTGGCAGGATTTTTTGGAAGTGGTTTGCCCTTGCCTCCTTCCTAGGGCTGAGAGAGAGAGAGACTGGCCCAAGGTCCCCCAGCTGGCTTTGGGCCTAACGCAGGTCTAGAACTCACGGTTTCATGGTTTCTAGTCTGGTGCCTTAACCACTACACCAAACTGGCTTTTTATTTTTTTTTTAATCCTTGTAAAATGACATCCTTGGCAACAGGATCCAGCTTAAAATTCAGTGTTGCCTGATCAAAATGTAGCACAGTACTTCGGCAAAAAACAAAAGGGAAATGAGCCGATAATAACACTAAAATGAAATTTCCTGCCTGAATCTTCATCGTCATCATTTTACTAATTATTACCTGGAACTAAATTATCATTGTAAATCCACGGAGGCATCATTTGCTGGATTGCATCCTGTGAAGGAAAAACTCCAACACCTAAAGACACACACAAAAAGAGACATATATTTAGAAAATAGCTAAAGCAAATGACTCATCTGGGACACTTTTATCAAAATACTTCAAAGAAAGAATCAGCTCTCCAAAGGCAGTTAAATAAGTTAAAAGCGGGTGGTTCAAGAAAAACAAGTAAAGAAGGAAATGCACTTTCTGCATTCAGATCAGAGCTCTGGAGCAAATAGCAACAGCTGTAACTTTCTGCAAAACACTCTCAGGGAGATGAAAGACTCCTCAGAGTTGGATTTATTTACTGAATGTCTGATAATCATCTGTTTAACTAATTGTTTATAGCATCATCTGTGAGTCTCACAGACATTTCTGTTGGAGGAGCTAACAATAAAAGATTAAGGTTCAAATAACCATATTTGTCATGATCAAGAGTAATTTTTTGTCTTGCATTGGAAACAAATGGTACTAAAGTGGTTTCACATCCAAAACTGGCAACTACCATTTTTTGAGTTGGAAGGTGGAAAAGAAATGAACACATGCACAGGCCAATGGCTACAAAGTCTATCACAAAGATAATATTACAGGTAGTCCTCAATTTACAACCATTTGTTCAGCGACCATTCGGAGTTATGATGGCACTGAACGAAGGGATTTACGACCTGTGCCTGAAGTTACAGCCGTTGCAGCACCCCCACGGTCACGTGATCAAAATTTGGGCACTTGGCAGTCCGCCTGCACTTGACTGCAGGGTCACATCAACTCCCCCCACCTGCCTCTCTTCCCCCATCTATGCCCTTTTGGCTGCCCTGTTTTGTGGGCAGCAAGCAGCCCCAGAACCGTGTGGCTCTGGGGCTGCAAGAAGCCCAAGCTGCAGCACAGCATGAAACTGCAGCCACCCCAGCCCAACTGCTCAAAGCCACCCTAGGAAGCATTTGTTTGCCCAGCTGCCTTCTCTCCCAGTTCCCCACAACGACCTTTTGCCTTTTTTGCCCAGCCCCCACAGACCCAGCTTCTTTGGCAAATTTTTCCTACACGTGGCTCCCCTTTGCATGGTGGTTGCAGCTTCCTGCTGTGCTGAGGCTCAGAGGCTTCTTGCAGCCCCAGAGCTGTGAGGCACCACAAGACAGGGTGCAGGGTGACCAAAAGGGCAGAGATAGTGGGGGAGATAGGCGGGTGGGGGGAGTCGGAGGCAATCCCTTACCTTACTGAGGTTCAGGGCTGGGAGGAACCAAGCCCAGTATGGCTTGGATTGGGGTGGGTCCTCGGCTAACAACCCGTGATTCCCAGTTAATGATGGCAACCAGGATTGTCGGAATTGCGGTCACTAAGCAATGCAGTCATGTGATGTCTTGCTTTACAACCGTATCACTTAGCCATGGAAATTCCAGTCCCGATTGTGGTCATAAGTCGAAGACTACCTGTATGGCACTTCACTGTTATTTTGATACAATCTTACATTCCAAACTGGAAAAACCATTCCTATTTTATGAAGTCCATTCCAAGTCTACTTTTAGAAATAACTGAAGTGACTTTGTTAGTTTATGTACTCATTAAATAGCTGGTTCACTGAATTCCAGCAACCCTTTCAAGCCTATTGCCATTGTTATCAAACAACAACAACAACAACAATCCATTCAGCAGTCCAAGTGCTGCCAGATAACTAAAGCAGGCAGAAATACCATTGCCAAACCATCATCTTTTGTAAGTGTGCTTAAAAAGGATTTGAAATTGAGATATATTTAGGTTCGCAACTTATGCATGATCAAAGACAGTGTTTCTCAACCTTGGCAGCTTGAAGATGGGTGGACTTCAACTCCCAGAATTCCC